CAGCCCTCTGGGGCAGTTATCAGCTCTATGTCTGCAGACGAAGGAGAAAGGGACTTGCCTAACGTCTCAGGATTACTGTAGGATTTGGGTGTGCATCTGTCTGGCAGCGTGTCAGCTCCTTTCAGACGATTGTTTGCCTTAATCCTGACCATAATCCTCCAAGGCAGGTCAGAGCAGTGCCACCTCTACTCCTGAGAGCTGTGAATTGTGTGCCCACTTTACAGATAAGGAAACAGGTTCAGCAAGGTTGAAGGTCCACCCAGACCTAAGAGGCCCCACCCAAGTTCACCCAGACCCAGAGGACTGCCCATGGTCACACCATGGGCCGCCTGATTCCAAAGCTGGGGCTTGGGGGGATTAAAATCACTGTTTCTCCTGAGAGTCCCCACCTGGAACTTCAGGACTGGTTTCTGGCCAGCTGACAGGAGCCTGTCTCCCTCTGGCTGGAGAGCAATCTCTTCCCAAAGCCAAACGTGTTGGCGGTGAAAGAAGCCTAGTCATATTAGTTCCTGCTGCATGTGGAAAAATTCACATTTCATCCCTCAACCCGTCGGACCAGTTTCTGCTGGAGTTCTAAGAGGACTCCGCCGTCTGAGTCTGAGAACGGAGTCCAGGACACATGGGAGGCCTCCGGCGTCATGGCTCAGCTGCACCCGCAGGCCCAGCCCTCTGTGCTGCTGCAGTCACAGGCTCAGAGCTAGTGAGATGCTCTGATGAGCTGGGCGTTGGGCCGCTGGCTTCATACCTCCCATCTGGAACCCAGGACTCCCTGAAAGGCAGATGTTCCCCCCTTGGCAGCCGAAGGAAAAGTTTATTGAATATTGCACGCTCGTGGGTAGTTACAAGCCTCGTGTAGAATGAAATCCACTCCCTGCATCCCCGGGGGTGTTTGATGTTTTTAAAAGGCACCATCAAGCCACCTTCGACTTAAAATGACCCTCTGAATGGACCCTGCCCAATCCTATGTCGTCCTCACCATCTCTGAAGCACTCCAGCCCATTGTTAGGGTCACACGGGAGGACCAGCCAAAAGAAGGGGCTTCAGGAAAGACCATCTCCATAATGACAGTAATTACAGTTGGGGACAGAGGCCTTGGAGAAAAGTGCCAGCTTGATGTCAGGGGAGTCCTCTGTGCAGGGAAGGGGACCAGCCACCACAGGGCCTTTGCATCTGCATTACCCTCTGCCTGCCGTGCTTCACTTCGGGGCAGAGTCGTGATGTGAACCCGGGATGTAGGCTTTGTTTCTCCCAGATGACCTTGGGAAGGTCGCTTCCCTCTTTGGGGTCCAGTTTCCTTGCATATAAATTGAGGTACTTTAATTAAACCAGTATCTAAGGACCTCCTTAGGTTTATACCCAAGAACACAACACATCTCTCAGCTCCCTCCCTTTCCAGGAGAGTGCTGCTAACGTAAAATGTTGTTGGGTGTTAGCAAGTCCCTTCTGACCCAGCGAGCCTGCTTCCTGGTCCTGCACCTTCGTCACAAGTGTCACCGCAGTTGAGCCTGTCATTGCAGCTGCCGTGACAGTCCATCTCGTTGACAGCCTTCCTCTTTTACTCTGTTCTCCTTTACCAAGCATGATGCTCTCAGCACTAACCCCTCCCAATAACAAGCCCAAAGCAAAGTAGGCATGTGTTAATAATGAGAACCTGATTGGGGAAAATCCAGAAAGCAGAGAGAGGTTTAAAGGAGAGGAGACAGCTGTGATGGAAAACAAAAAC